CATATTAGTAAAGTTAACATAGATCACTCCGTACTGCTGTTTGCACAGCTGGATATGTCAGATAGCATAAGTTCATCTTTTCTAAGATGAGCTTAAATCTCTAGTGTCTTTCTTATTTACACCAACCACAGCATTACATTGTTCCTGTAAAGAAGGTTAGTTTTAGTGAAACCATGTTCTTAGTGCAACCCTACAGGTGCATAAATTTCAATAAATTGCTTCAGGATACCCTCAAATCTGAGTGTTCACCTTCAAGCCACAGGATTTGTCTGATTATAAGTAAAAAGTCATTTACATTTGGATCGTGACACCTACAGGTAATGACTCATTAACAGGACCTTACGCTCCTCTGATCAAAAGGAATGCCCCCTTCCATTACAAAAGAAATCAGTTTACGAGGGTCACAGATGTGTGGAATTAGGAACATGGGCTTTCCTCACACAGAGAGATGAAGTCACATCCAGAGACTTTTTAAAGGTTTATTCTTTGCAACAAAAATTAAAATCTAGAAAAGTCACTTTCACTGTCTTGAGGATATCCACCCAGTGTTTCTCCCTAGACCAGGGTGAGATGGAATGCATGCTGTGCTTTACAGAACACCATGCAGTTACCAAGGGTGGGATTTAGATCACAGCTTACGACAAAAATTATCAGGTATGTACAGGTAGCCATCTACATGCCAACTAGAAAACGAGCTCTACCTGTGCTCCAGGGAGATTTGGTCAGGACAGTCAACAGCTTCTCAGGTGTGGCTCAGCTGATGAGCCACTGTAGCAGAAATCTGTACCAAAACCTATATACCTGGTACCAGGTGGGATGCTCAGAGTAACCCAGGACACCTGTGTGTGTGTAGCAGCCATTACACACCATATCATGCTGCTGCATTAGAGGTTATGGCCCATCATCTTTATTTTGGAGGACCCTTTACAAAACTAGACACCTCTCAGTAAGTAACTTGGGTTACTTACTCATAATTTGGGTGCTATTTTAGAATGGACTGAATCACCCTTTAGGCTGCACTGACTGTTTTGGGTTGATCTCTATCAGCTCTCATGAGAGTTTAGTGTGCATATCGAATATCATCTACAGACGTCAAATGTCAATGCTATAGTCAGCAAGCTGAATCCTGTCCTAATGTGCTGCAGACATGACATAACTGTGTACTCCTAATTTTCCATTATTCAGAGGCAGATTGCCTGGTTCAAAAAATTCACCTGTTTTACAGGTGAGTATGTACCCAAGCAGCCTTCATTTGGAGACAACTGTGGTCCATCAGCGTACTACTTTGCTTCCAGGCCCACAGGAGATCAGACTCTACTGCTCTAGAACCTGAGCTGCATGCTTGTTCACTGCTGTACCCCAGGAAATAAAGACTCAACAGAACACAATACAGAACACAAGATGGATAACATGGTTCAGAGCCAGCAAAGGTGAGTCTTATCTCACTTAGGGTGGCAATTGAGGAGAAACAGGACCCTACGTGTACCACCATGGTCAGGTATTGGTTGCATGGACTCATCACTCCCTTAGCATTTAGTTATTATGGAATGATCTACCATTTAGACATTATGCAAGTTATTATGCCCTAAAAAGTTATTCCAAATCGGAATTCTCTTCCTAGCTCATGCAAAAGGCCTGTTTACTTAGACTGGCTCGACCTTTAATTCTACAGCTTCCTCTGCTTTCTTCTGTGGTCTTTACATTAGCCCTCCCAACCCTGCACCTCTTTTCTGTTTTTATGAACTTTTACTTAGGCTTTTTAGTTCTGGGGTTCCCAAAATGAGGACACGAACATCCAAGAGGACTGTGTCTACACTGTATGAATCAGGTCATTAATGTTGATTCCTGGCTCTATCTTGGTAGAATTTTTTAACTTAAGTTGATTTGACATAGATTTTTACCTCAGTGATTGTTCATGAGTATTTTGAAATTAGTTTCCTGCAGGAAATATTTTTTAATTAGATAAGTCTTTCAATTTAAAAGTTAATCTTACAAAGCTAAACTTGAACACAAAAGTTCCTTAGGACAAAAGAATAATAAGTGCTAGAAACACAGAATCGTGGAATCATTTTGATTGGATCCTACCCAGCCCCATGGTCTTGTGTGTGTCTAAATGGTGTAGTAAATGATTGACCATTTGCCCTTGGATTGTGGGCATTTCATTCTGCTTCCTGTCCCTGTCTTCCAGCTCAGGGGACTGGATACCCAGGGAACAACTGTTCTTATCATTAATGACTGAGGCAAAGAAGGCATTAAGTGCCTCAATCTCTTCCCCATCCTTTGTCACTATGTTCCCCCCCACATCTAATAAAGGATGGGGATTCTCCTTGGCCCACCTTTTGTTGCTGATATATTGGTAGAAACATATTTATTTACTTTTATAGCAATAACCGAATTAAATCCTAGTTGGGCTTTGACCCATGTAATTTTCTCCCTGCATAACCTCACTACATCCTTGTACTCCTTCTGAGTTTTCTGCTCCTTCTTCCAGAGGCCATAGACCCTCCCTTTTCTTCCTGATTTCCAGCCAAACTCTGTGTTCAATAAGGCTGGTCTTCTTTCCTGACAGTGTGTCTCCAGGCACATGGGGACAGGCAGCTCCTGTGCCTTTAGGATTTCTTTCATGAATAATGTCCAGCCTTCCTGGACTCCTTTGCCCTTCAGAACTGTCTCCCAAGGAACTCTGTCAACCAGACTCCTACAAAGCCCAAAGTCTGCCCTCCAGAAGTCTAAGGCAGCAGTTCTCACCTCACTTCTCCAAGAATCAAAACTTCTATAATTTCATGATCATGTCCAAAATGGCCTCCAAACATCACATAACCCACCACTTCTTCTCTGTTCACAAAAAACAGGTTGAGAAGAGCAGCATTTCACAGCAGAGTTTGGTGGCACTCTCTGCATTCTAAGGATGTATAAGGTTTTTCATCGTTAATTTAGAAACTGGCCTTCTTTTAACTTCATTCTAAAGTATTTGCACAGTCAGGATGGACATAGTAGATAGGTGGATACTTTCTTCCACTTAAAAGTGGAAGAAAGTAAATTTCTTGCAGTGACCTCTTGAAGCATTTCATGTTCAGATTTGATTCATAATCAAGAATAATCCTGAACTGTTGTAATACTCTTTATCTCATTATTTAAAGGGAAACATATCAAATGCCAAGTAATTGCATCTATGCCAGAAGGTAATTTTATATTCCTTGTTAAGTGAGACAGAATAATATTTTCTCTGTTCTTTCCAAATGAAATTTGATGATAGAGCCTAAATCAATTAATAAATCAATATATGACCATCTTCACTAACACTTTAAGAGGAACCTCTGGCAGTCCTTACACAAACAATACCCTCTACCTGGCAAAAAGTTAAAAAGCTAATTTACTGTGCTTTTGAACCATTAGTTTGAAAAAGTCCCTGGGTGTCTCAAAGTAAACTTGAGCAAGTCCAATAGTGTATGATCAGCAGAAATGGGTAACTGAGAGGGGACAAAAAATGGAGCTTCCAGCACAATGGAAATAAATTGTTAGCCACCTACTGAGGCCTGTGAAGCTAGGCAAGAGCTAGGAGAGATAAAAACACACAACGAAGTGAGATGCTTCTGTGCTTGAATATATAAAGTGATGCCAACTGAAATAACATTTTATGGTTTTGAGAAAAGAGGCAAAATGTACCAGAGACACTGAGTACTTGACTGTATTTAGCATATCTCTCAAAAGCCTTACCTAAAACATGAAATCAAATTGGTTGGTGAAGCAGGATTGATGAGTGCATGTGAAGTGTCTGAATGCTGAATAATGTCTGCAAGTAATATTACAGCTCAGTACTTACTGGGGCAATGACCCAAGAAGTGCAGTATTAATAAACACAGTTGGCAGTGAAGCAGGAGGATGAGGACAAAAAAATAATAGAATTTCAGAGATTCAAATCTGGGCAAAAATAAGAAATAAATTAAACAAAAACCATGTCTAAAAGAATGAGAGTCCTGAAAGGTCATTTTAACTGATAATATCCCCAATACAGAGACCTTCTTTCCTTAGGTGGTTGTATCAAGTGGAGAAAAATGCAGTCCTAATCCTGAACTGAAGTTAACTGTGGCAGTAAAAAAACTATTAATGGCAGGAACCTTCCTTCAGGAGGAGAGATAAAGTTGAAGGATAATGAAAATGCCAGACTGGTCATGTCATGAGTAGCAAATCCATAAATGTGTGGTCTGAATAGTGTTCATCCGAAGGAAGAAACTGGGGCAAACTTGAGCAAACATAATTAGGGAGTAATTAAACCCTACCTATAGGATAAATAGATAAAAATGTTGTAATATAAAAACCTCACTGATTTACATTTCCTCTTTTAGAAGAAATATGACAATATATTATATCAATTTTAATAATTTTATTTCACTGGCTGTTAAAAAGTGCTCAAGCAGCCAGGTGAAAATTATCACCAGGTGAAAGACAGGGGAGCTGGCAGAGAGCTCCCCAAGCCCTGGGGTGCATTGCCAGAGGAGGCAGGAGGGAGAGGTGTGGAGGAGAGGTTTCACCAGCCTCCTCTTTGCTGTGAGCCATTCAGGAGGGTGCAGGCTGGAGCAAGTCTTGCTTTCTGCCTTGCATGCCTCAGGTCCTGCACAGAGGGAATCTCGGTCAGGCAAGACAGCATAAGTCAGGGCTGAGTGCCAGGGCAGACTGCTCATGATAGAGCTATCTACTTTATGATTTTGGAACTATTTTAAAGACAGCTGGCAAGGGAATGCTCCTAAATCCTCATCGTGTTAATTGGTTTTTTCTAACAGGGCAATCCCCATTTATAAAATGCGGTTTTCCTAACAGCCCACTGATTAATCTGTGAGAAAAAAAGCACATCCCTCTCATGCTTGAGATTCATGCATCAAAGCAAAAGGTGAGGTTTGATGAAGTCAGTCTGCACAGCAAAATGAGTAGAGCCCTGCATCAGCAAGGTTTCCTCCAGGAGATAACTATGGTCAGAGAACCATTATAGCAGTTGCTGTTAATAAGAGGGAGGAAGAATGATTCACAAACAAGTCCTGTAAGCTGCCTACAGGAGCACCACAGGGAGGAGTCCTGTTACTCATTATGCTGCTGTCAGCTCCAATGAGGCCAGAAGCGCAGCAGAACAATGGTTGTGACGTCTTGGGTGGCCAAAAGTTTCTTACATTGTTTTCACATTCATTGTGTGACGCAACCACCCGCAACAATTGCGCGCTTGAAATTTTCTCAGAAATGAAAGGAAGCTTTTGGGCCTGCCTGTAAGAAGCTTACTCCCCACATAAATGATGTGACTTGCAATTCAAATCCATATAAATGTACATATTCATCTTCCCCAGCCCACAGAACACAGGCAAAGGTATCTGTTTACAGCACTTTTCCAGCTTATCGTTCAGAAGAGCAGTGGGAAGAATACATAGGCTTATACCATGGCTGTCACCTATTCCTTTTATTTGTATTTAATTTTGCAGGGACAAGGTTCATTTTGTAGACAGTCCCAAGAAGGAAAATTCTTTTATTCCATATTTTGTTATTGTAAATGCACGTGGAGTATATTGTATGGTTTTTCAGGCTGTATGGAATGAAGCAAAAAGTAGTTTTCAATCTTTTCATGCTCCATGCTTGGGGAAGAGGCATAAGAAAATGGTTCATGGAGATCCTATATTATTATTTGAGAGATTTTTATTTTTTAGGCCTGGTCAGGTTTTATGACTGGCACATTTCCGAGAATGCACCTCTGAAGCATGAGGTTTATAATGATTTCTCCTTACGCTGTTTATCTCACTCTCCCAGTTGCAGTGCATTTATCCTCACACGGACAGAAGCATGACAGGAGAGGAGAGAAGACATCAAAGAGATTTTGCCAAACAGAGGAATATGGATTTCCCACTCCCCTCCCTGAAGGATATTTTCAAGATGCAAGGTTTTTCAACACACAAATATATTAGCAGTGCAAAGCAAGCAGGAAAGGCTGTAACATTTGCTGAGGTTCTACTAAACCGGCTTGGACTGTGTGTAGAGGGGGAGAAGGATCCGGGGCCTGGCAGTTTGCCCTGAAATTCATAGAGGTTACAGGGTCCGCTGTGCTGCCCCAGTAACTTTTCTTCCACCTACTGCAACCCAGAAAGTAATGTGCTCTCAATCCAAAAGGGAAAACACAAAACAGCCAATTCCCATCTGATTTTTGCAGTATCTAGACGTGCTGGATGATTTGCTCCCTCCATTTCCTTTCAGCACAGCAGTTACTTTCAGCATCTCTCTGCTGGAGCACTGGCAGGGTAAATAATAGACATATTTCTCAACGATCCCAACTCCTTTCTTTAAATATTCACACCACAGATTTTTCAACACAACATTTGGGGAGGTGACAGTTATTTATATAAGAATGAGATGGGATATGGGACTTAACAAAAGTTATTACACAATGTGGTGGCAGGGAAAGACAGCTGAATGTAGTCTACTAAACCGTAAAATGCTGGAACCTCCAAGCTTTTTTGCAAGTTAGAAAAAAACAGATTTTCACACTTTAAATACACCTTTAATTAGAGATATAATCTTGAATGGGAGATAGAGAAGACAATAATTTTTACAAAAAAAAGTATAAGAACATACTTTCAAATGTATCTTCAAAGGTACTAAAGGAGTTAGGTTCTCAAATCTTACGGGATGGCATAAGTAGATTATGGAATCTCCACTGCAAATGACAGCTGTAATGTCCATAAAAGCAGGCCTGTTTTGCAGCCAAGGTACTTAACTAGGACTCAGTAGATTTGGGATTCATGCCTGGCTCTGTCTAAATCTGCAAGCCATTTGACTTCTCTGTGCCTCAGTTTCTCTTTCTGTGCAGCAGTACACTGAAGCTGCACAGAGAAATTCTCAGGATGCAGTCGCTGTAATGTGGGGGACACACATAATTATTTAGTTTATAGTAATTTATGACAACTAAAAATAAGAAGTGGGATTGAAAATGAGACTTACTATATATGCATAGAAGAATATTCATCATGTTAATTACTCAGAAGAAAAAGAAATAAAGCAATACTAACTGCTTCCCTGGTAAAAATATGTCATAGTAGAGATTTCTTCATAATTTTAAATAAGGTAAGGAGAAACAGAAAAATCTTAGTTATTATTGTGATGAAATAGCTTCACTCTATGAAGTAATATCTAACCTCATTTTAAAAAGCTAGGGACACAGACAAAATGGGAATGTGCATGATGTCAAACATTATGACCACAGTGTGAGAGTGGTCACAGAAGCAATGCCTGGCTGCTTGGTCTCATCATCAGCAGGTCTGGGCAAGCTCAGCAGAACAATAAAGTAACAGAAACTGGAGCTATACTCATCTGTAGACTAAGCTAAACATGAACTGGGACTTCAGGTCTCCTAGTTTTGCTGTGATGCCATGCTTTGGGCTTCGAAACCATAAAAGATGCAGATTTGCCTGATAGTGGGTGCACCCGGTGGGAGCAGGGATGACTCAGCCCAGCTGCCCACTGGGTCTCCCAGTGAACCCATGCTGAGGAACCAGCTCTCATGCCCTCCAGACAAGACAGCACCATCCCTCACCCTCCAACTTGCCAGCCTGAACTTAATCACTGAGAGAAGGTCTTGCTTGTCCTCCTCCCTGCAGCCTTCCAGGGAAGCTAGCCCTGCTGTGGACATGCATTGAAGGACACTTTCTAAATCTACCTGCTATTCATGAAGGAAAAGCAAAAGGTTTCCTTTCACCCTTGCTGGTCCTGGCTGCTGACACACTTTGGTGCTCTGGTTTTATTCAGGCAGATCTCAGGCTCTGCCCTCAGGGCTGCTTGGCAGCAAGACTGAGAGAAGGCAGTGCAGCAGTGCATCTGTGATGATTTGCAGGTCATCATTTGCCACAATGCCACTGAGGCTATAGCTCTTCTGGTACCTTCAGTAGATATATATGTGAATTATTTGGAGTAAAATATGTAGAAATCTGTTCAAGGGAAATGCTGAACAAAAGTAGCCCAATTAGCAGCAATCCCTTAACCAAGTCAATCCAAAACCAGCGCAGAAAGATTTTGCAACCACTCAAGATATGCTGGTTTCTCTGTTCCATTAGTTCCCTTTACTTGGGTCAGCTACACCCCAACACGATGGTAGTTTCTCCTAAAATTTCTATTGATATATCCAACACACAGCTCATACATGCTTTCAATTTTTTTTCACAGTGTTCTGGACTACATTAAAATAACTTTGTCCTCACTGGGGACATCTCTGATTACTCACTTCTAGTTTAGTTCCTCATTTGTGTTCAGAGAGGAAAGGGGTTTCAAACTGTCGGAATCTGTGGGTATTGGTGATTCCGAGATTGTAGAAAGTCTCTGTCTTTCTGCCCCGTTGCCAAAGAAGAAGCCATAGTTCGTCTGTGCTGTTTTCAAGGTTGTTTATTTTTGCTTATCTATAACAAGTTCTGCTGCCCTGCCGCAGGTCTGTCCTGCAGGGCAGTGTGCGGGGCTCTGCCCCTCAGTGGGATGGTACAAACATTATATACCAGAAATTACGTGTACTATATTTACAATAATGTGCCAATATCTATCATCTACGTTGAACAGTGTGTCCCCAGCCTAAACCAATAGAAAAATGCCAACATCACCAAGAACACGGAGGTAAGGAAGAAGAAGGAGGAAGAACAGGATCAGGTCCACTTTCCTCCATCTTAGAACTCCTGACCCCCCTGTACAAAGTAAAACCCCCCTGTACAGGTGTTAAAACCCCCCTGTACAATACTAAAAAATTTTACCCTCTAATTTGTGACTACTTTTACTATACCATCTAACCCTCTGTGACTGCTTGTTCCACCTTTAAAGTTGGTAATTCATTCCATGATTCAAACTCAAGATCACAGCTGTTCTCAGCTGCTTGCCAGGGTCTAAAATGCTTCTGACCAAGGCCTGGAACCTCTAAAAATGTCTGAGGGACATTTTGAGTCCCGACATCAAACTAGAAACCTAAATCTTCAGGGAGAATGCAGACTTGGGACTCAAACTGCCCTCTTAAGTAAATGATCCTGCAACCTCAGACCTTCCTCCAGAGGAGACATGGGGATCACCATAGTCATGGTTTACTGTCAGCTACCTGCCCTGGTGCTCCTCTTTGCCTCAACACCATGGTTCCAAACTTACAGCTTAGCTGAAACACAAAAAGGGAAATCATGCCACTTTTCTCTGTGTCCATGTTAACAAGGATTTTAAATACCTTTGTTTCTGCAAGGGATTTAAGCCATTCCTCCATATCCCTCTTGAAGTGCAGTGTGTTAAATTTCAAAGGCACATTAGGTTTTCTTCTTGTCTCTGGTGTCCAAACAGGATGAATCTGCATAAAAGGATGTCCACAAATGAGAAAATAGGACCAGGTCCACTGATACCATTAGCTTATGCATGAGAGAGCTGAGCAGGCAGTTTATCTGCTGTTTCCTTGTATTTAGGCCAACTCTTAACTTTTGGCACTTGTCCCAGCATAGATAAAAACATTTTGGGTATTAACAAGGTATAGCTGGAGTTGAAAGCACAAGAACTGCAAGAGACACCCTCTATTCCCTGGATGTTTTTCCATCTCAGCTGGAGCAAGCAGATCTGAGTTTCAAGCCTTTGCTCCACTAAAATGGTTCAAATTGGAACAGAGAAGGAAAAAAAACTGGCAAAATAAAACCATATATAAATCCATACCTTGTAGATAAATAGTTATTAGGATTACCAAATAAAGCACTTGAAGGTAGTGTGTAACTTTGAAGGTAATCAGTTCTCTGGAAGATCCAAATGTATATTGGAGCTTGTTCAGAAATAGGTATCACTGGTTTTGAGTCTCCTGGCAGACCAGTATAACCATTACAGACTCCATCAACTGGGCAGCAGATCTTTCATCTGCACTGCCAGGACCAAAGCCATTAATTCATCCAGCCACAGCTGTCAGATCTTCAGCAGCAGGAGACACCTCTTTGGAGCTCCTGTGAATGTCCAGTTGCACATTCCTCATTTAAGAGCACATTTCTGACTGTGTGTGGACCTCTGCACTTCTCAGAGCATGAACTGCATGAACTCCAGCTGGTCATCCTGACTCTTTTTAGGTTTTGTCTGTTTTCTCTATGTTCTCTGTATTCTTCACACATATATTTGTAAATCTTTCACCTATTGTATTAGTAGCTAGTTTTCCCAGTACTTTCCATGGCCTTTCCCCAGCAAAAAGACAAAGCAAATCCCAGAGCTCCAAGCCCTGGTGAGTACAAGGCCCCTGTCCTCTCTTGGTTCTTCTGGGAGCAAAGGCTGAGAATAACCCTTTGAGATACATTTCATGGACAAAGTACAACTAGTGCTGAAGGGGAGACTCCAGAGAAGGAGCTTGACCAGTGGGGGAATTGCATCACCAGTTGTCCTCCTGACTGGTGCTTTTTATCAATTACACTAATTTCCTAAAATTCCTAATTTCCTATAAAAATGTACTCACTCCTGGGGGTGATGGGCTTCTGTGGATATCCATCCATAACTGCTTCTGAAGGCCTTCAAATAAAGATTCCCTTTTATATTACCTCCCTACTAAAATTATCTCAAGTTTCATTTCCAAGTTGAGATAAAGGCAACAATCCGTATCTCCATACACCTCACACATGAACGTGGAGATAGGATTTTGTCCACCATAGAGAATCATAACTCTGCCTTTGATACCCAGGCTTCCATTTGGAAACCCTGTTCCCAAATAATTTGTAAGTAACTGGCAGAAGTAGATTGATATAAAACGTGAGACTAAAATAAATTATAATGTCAAGTTAATAGAAATGCAGAGGTACTGATGCCTGGCAGGAAAGGATCCTGGGGTGAGCCCACAAGAAGGAGGGTTATTTTGTGGGCATGTTTGGAGGTCTTAAGCACCTCGGGGCATTCTGGCAGACTCCACTGAGGAACTCCAGCAGAGGGAACACCTTTTTACCTCTCCTGCCCCCTTTATAAAAAGACACATTAATCCCCTCCATGCATTTATGGCAGCATTTACTAGATGCATTGAAACAGTTCACCTTGAGATTTGGCTCAAACACAGCATGTCTCCTGAGGTTTTTCCCCAGCTGTTAAGAAAAAAAAATTATTTGAACACTCACTTCAGGAAAGCTGCAGACAAAGGCATTACCTCTTCCCAGATGTGGATTCTGCCTGACTTTGAAGTGAATCTATTGAGCCATCCTTGAGACCATTCTGCATGTTCTGACAATATGTTACACTGTTAATTGTCCTACTTTCCAACATAATGTGCATTAGAGTCGTTAAGATACACTGCTGTGGCAGGTTCTTCTCTCTAGTTATCCAGTCTACTTAAAAAAGATATGTATTATCTGAGTCTCTGAGGTCTTTTCACCTGTCCTGTGAAAACTTGCCATTTATTCTAACGGAGGCAGAAATCAGGCTCAAGATGTTCCCCTGGCATGAAGAAAGATTCACAGGTGAAAAAAAAGCATAAAATAATAACAGAGACACAAATTTAATTTAATCTCTTAAATTTTAAGGGAGTATAGTCCCTTTTCTGGGAAGCTGTAGCTGTATTTTAAAGTGTTATAGTGTGCTTCAGCTAACCAACTCCATACTGACAAGTTTATTCATATCTGGAATAAACAGGGGCATTCTTTCAATCATTAAAATCTGTAGATAAATGTTGGGACTAGTTTGTTTTCTCTGGAAGAGTAGAACTTTTCCAAAACACTCTGTCTGCTCCAGTCCTGTTCATGCCCTCCCAATTTTAATACAGCACAGTCCACTAACAGAGATACTGAATACCACTAATAGGGATTTCAAGAATACTGAAATAAATCTTCTGTGCCGTTCTCAGATGAGATTAGAATCTTCCCCTGAATTTATAGCTCAGCATTAGCTCAATATTCAAGTTTTGCTTTCATTTTTTAACTAGAAAGTCTGTTATGTCCCCACAATTCTCCTGGCTGTTCACAACTAGAGAACTACATAAGAGGTCAGAAAATTTATTTCACTGCTTCAACAAGAAATTAATATAAT